TGACAAAGGACCGTTATTGCAGCATTATTTACAATAGCTAAGACATGGAAACAATCTAAGTGTTCATCAGTGGATGAATGGATAAAGAAAAGGTTATGCACATATACAGAGGAATATTATTCAGCCATAAAAAGGAAAGAAATCATGCCATTTGAGACATCATGAATAGGCCTGAGGTCAGATAAAAGACAAATACCATATAATCTCACTTGTATATGGGATCTTTAAAAAAAGAAACTCATAGATACATAGAACAGATTGGTGGTTGCCAGAGATGGGGGACTGGGTGTGGTTGATATGGTTGAGGGTACAAATTCCTAGTTATAAAATAAATAAGTCCTAAAAATGCAATGTACAGCATGGTGACTATAATTAGTAACACTGTACTGTACATTTGAAAGTTGCCAAGAGAGATCTTAAAAGGTCTCAGAACAAGGGAAAAACAATGTGTAACTATGTGAAATGATGGATGTTAACTAGAATTACTGTGGTGATCATTTCACAATATATACATACACTGAATCATTATGTTGTATACCTGGAACTAATATATGTCAATTATATTTCAATTTTAAAATTAATTTAATCCCAATAGATAATCTGCTAAGGTACAGAACCATAAAGCAATAATATGTTAGCAGACCCAAATGCAATAAAAGACAAAGCATTCATTACTGTTCATTATGATTCATTATATTACTGCACAAAGTAAGAGGTGAGAAAAGTAATTAGTTACAGTTAACAGTATATCCTGAAATAAATAATAATTTATGATAAGCCCCTGGCAGATGCACCATTAACCTGCAAAACCAAGTTCTGCTTCAAAGTATCAAAAGAAATCTCTGCAGAGAAAGTACACGCCAGTGAGTATCTGACAGCACATATCCTGAACCTTACCCAGAAAATTAGCAATTAGGTTACCTCAGGAAGAATTACAATAGATTTCAGTAGTACTGGTAGTGGTGGTTATCACCACAATGTAAGTATTAAAAAGGCCATCTCGTCCTGGCCAGTTTGGCTCAGCGGTTAGAGTGTTGGCCCTCAGATGGAAGGGTCTCAGGTTTGATTCCCAGTCAAGGGCATGTACCTGGGTAGTAGGGCTGATCACCAGCCCCAGTCAGGAGTGGTGCAGGAGGCAACCAATTGATGTGTCTCTTTCACATCAATGTTTCTCTCTCTCTCTCCATCCCTCCCTTCCACTCTCCCTAAAAATCAATGGAAAAAAGATCCTCGAGTGAGATTAACAAAAAAAAAAAAAAATTGTTGGTGAACACATAATATACAGATAATGTGAAAAAAAAAAAGAATAAAATTGCAAGGAGTCTAATTGTTTTCTGAAGATATGACATTATAGATATGCATGTTCTGGTTTAAAAAATATCTATTCTGTTAAACTTTTCTACCTAAGACAACATTGAAAAAGTAAAGTCCATAAAAATCTTTTGACAGGAGATAAAATACTCACATTTACTTGGATACTTTTATTTTACTCAACCATTTTTAAAATTTCTGCCTAGCTCTCAGAAATAAGTTTAAAAACTTTAATACATGGTCTGATTTATACAAACACTGATGAAAACTAAAATCTATATATTTATTGACAAATAAAAGCAGCAAATTGCACACTAGAGCATCAATTAACAAGAACCAATTAAATCCTAAAATTATCAGTAGTGTCTAGCTTTTCAAACTTGCCATTACAAATGTATAGTCACACACATATACACACAGAGAAAAAGGGGTAAAAAGTCAACCCTAATGCAAGAAAACAAGATCTTCTTACTACTTGAAGCAAATTAAATAACAAATCAGGGTATATCCTATCCAGTCTACCATACAGTAAAGCCCAATGAGACTGTTCAGAGTTCCTAAGACATTGCAAGATCCCCAATAAGATATTCAGTTCAATTGTGATTGAAACATTACACTTAGGGCCCTGGCCAGTTGGGTTCAGTGGTTAGAGCGTTGGCCCACGGACTGAAAGGTCACAGGCTGAATTCCCAGTCAAGGACATACACCTGGGTTGTGGGTAAAATCACTGGCCCTGGTGGGGTTGTGCAGGAGGCAACCAAGCAATATGTCTCTCTCACATCAATGTTTCTCTCTGGCCTTCTCTCTCTCTCCCATTCTATCTAAAACATCAATGGAAATATCCTCGGGTGAGGATTAACAATCAAAGAAAACATACTTAGCAACAAAGCAGTGCCACAGTTACAATGATTTACAACAAGAGCTTCAATAAAAAGTTAAACTTCAATTAGCCAGAACATGCAACAGCCCAAATAAATTCCTTCATCTATTCTTTGAGAATTCCAATTAATCAGGGTTCTTTCATGTTCTTGATGCCCTAAGTTTTGGACAATGAAGGAGGAAAGCGACTAGATAAAATAAAGTGGATTATGGGTCTGATGTTTATACTCTAATGGTATGTTTGCTTCTAAAAAATTTCACATTCACCTGACCAGTGTGGCTCAGTGGACTGAGAGGTCCAGGTTTGATTACCCAGTCAGGGTACATGCCCAGATTGTGGGCTTGATCCTCAGAAGGGGGTGCACAAGAGGCAGTCAATTAATGTTTCTGTCTCACATTGATGTTTCTACCTCTCTCTCCCTTCCTCTCTAAAAAAAAAAAAAAAAAACCACAAAAACAATAAAAACATCCTCTCTCTCTAAAAACTCAATAAAAAACATATTTAAATAAATAAATAAATAATTTCACATTCTGCAAAATGGCAGGCTAAAAATAACACGGCTAAGGGAAAAACAGATTTGGGACAGACCACTGGAAAACTATACAACTCTTGTCATCAGCACTGACAAAAACATTCATTGGTACCTGGGAAGGTCACCTGGACTGCCCAGGCAGGCCGATTAACTTAGCTGGAGGCTGTTACAAAGATATAAAAACAAGGAGGCTGTTACAAGGATATAAAAAGGCTGGGAGATATTCAATCAATAAAATTGGAACCCTGGGCTGGAGGGGCTGCTCTTAAGGGAGCCACCATTAGTGGAGGGACACACAAAACTGACAGGTAACTCTGGAAGAAAATTTTCACATTTATTATTCTCCAATTATAACTAAAAGTGTTCATGCTGGAAGTGCAGGAGCCAACCTTCGGGCTATTTCCTTTCCCCCGTAAGTTATAACAACATTTCCTTGACTCTATTACTCTGGTTCCCCTTGCCTAGGAAAAATATCCCACATGAAGCAATGCAATTTTTTTTTTTTTTTTTGTTCAGGTAGAGTGGGAGGGAGAGAGAGGAACAGAGAGAGAGAGAAACATCGATGTGAAAGGAACACATCGAGTGGCTGCCACCCGCACAACCGACCAGGGCCGGGGACAAACTGCAACCGAGGTATGCGCCCTTAGCGGGAACCGAACCCGGGTCTCTCAGGACCGCAGGCCGACACTCTAACCGCTGAGCCAAACTGGCCAGGGCAAGCAATGCAATTTTTGTGTTCTACTGGAATAATTCTTTAACATGTATGAGCAAATCCACATTATAGAAATAAAAAGGTTTGCTTTAAATGATATGTTTGCAAATTGAGGGTAGGTATCTTCTTATGCTCCACTTTCTGTATTTACATGAGCCTCATAAATTACAAGAGTTATCCATTTGTCAAATGGGTATCAACTTTTTTTTTCCCAATTAATCACTTGATTTTTTTTTTTTTTTAATCCTCATCCAAGGACATTTTTTGATATTTTGTTCAGATAAAGTGGGAGGGAGAGAGAAAGAGAGAGACATCGAGGTGAAAGGGACACATCGAGTGGTTGCCATCCATACGACCCCACCAGGGCCAGGGACAAACTGCAACTGAGGTACGTGCCCTTAGTGGGAACCGAACCCAGGTCTCTCTGGACCACTGGCCGACACTCTAACCACTGAGCCAAACTGGCCAGGGCTGATCATCTGATTTTATTCTGGGGTTCGTAGGTTTGGGAAGATTTTTAATGGTTTAAATTTACATGTTAATGGATTCCTATTTTCTTATTCCTCAGATTTAATGCCTCGCTTATAGATTACTCATTCCAGTTTTATAAATAAATTCACATCTATTTTCTTTAAATACATTTATGTTTTATTTTTTACATTTGTCTTTATCTGAAATTTTAACATAAAGTTTGAGGTATAGATTTAGTCTGATTTTTTTAATCTAGAAATTGCCATTAACTCTTTGTATTTCCATCTGTGTTTCTCTGCTGAGTTGAACTGCCATCTTTATCATACAAAATATCAAATATATTTAGATTGACTCTCTTTTCTATTGCATTGCTCCATGTGGTTTGAGGCTATGACAGGGAATATTTAACATGCAGAAAACAGACTGGAAATGCTAGAAACACTTTAATTCAGTGTTGAGAGGTGCTGTTGACTACAAGTTCTAATATATTTTAATGTCTGATGGTCCTCTTCCTCCCCAGATCATCTTTCCAGAAATGTTACCATGTACAAGTGTGCGAAATTAAATTATAGTACCTATCAAAAGGAAGAAAAAAGTCTTAGGGCAGGCTAGAATAAAAGTATTCTTTTGGAATAAAGAGCCCATAGGAGTACACCTTCTGATGCACTTAGGTTGCTTCTGATAACAATTTAAAGAATACATATTAACAAGGGCGGTCAAGTAAGCAACAATCTAAGATTAGCTATACTTTGATCCAAACAAAAGCAACAGATCTGGATATTTGGATTTCAAAAGAACAAAGACCAAAAAATTAAATGTTATGCTCTAAGTTTTTCCAGAAATTCCAATTTCCTTCATTACATAATCTCTGTGTTCTACAAAAGCTTATCTAGGGGCTTAATGTATTAGTCAGTAATTAGGTCACTTTCATTCCATAAAAGTCTCTAAACATCTTTTTAAATGTTTTTCTTTACTATAACTTTATAAAATTATAATAAATAAAATTAAAGGGCTAGACTTAGGCAAAGGGATGTAACAGCAGGCCCTATGTACAGTATCTTACAATTGTGTCATAAATTTTTCCAAGTACTTACTTATTAAGCAATGTATGTTATGGGAGTAACGAGAATTGTCTGGGATGGTGAAGCTGCCATCACAGATAGCAACCTGACTCTCACCAAAAGGAAGAGTGAAGAAACAAAGTTTATACAGTAAACATCCCAGTGCCTGTAAAATAAAGAAGCATAAACATCATCAGAACTCAAGTAAACAACTTAACCACAGGCTATAAAAATAGCATTAAAACAAAAATTAAATTTGTTATTTAAAAGGTTAATGTTTCTATACTGAATCAATCTTTTCACAAATTACTTGCTTAAGCAAATTAATGTGCTTAATTTTTAGAAGACATTTAACTACCATTTCCATGTTTTTCTATCAATCTGTGGCCAGCTAGCTGGTTGAATTAATGCTATCATAGAACTCTAGATATAACTAAAAGTAGAAGTGGTCAGTCCGTTTTAGAAAAAAAAATACTTTTATTTCTTCCACAAGGAAAATATGTATTTAGTACATAACTAGCATATAACCAACAATGTAAGTACAAGGCTCCTTCTAGCAGCACCTTTTTTAAATTTACTATAAAACATGTTTTAAAATCCTGGGATTCCAAATATGAATTAACCAGCACAGTCAAATTTATCAGTCACTAAGCATGTGCCATTATTTTATACTATAAAAATTAGTCCCTATTTCTCTGGATAACCCTATGATTTTTATTCTATAATCCACTATCACATATGTACTTGGGTAATCTATGTGAAAATTCAAAAAGGTAGGGCTCTGTCTGCTTCACTTGGACAGCTTGACATGACAGCACCAATAAATCTATTTGCTGACAACAAAAAATCAAAATACTTTAAAAAATAAAGTTCTAGCTAAGCTGTTAACAGCTCAAACCAGAAAACCAATAATAAAATGTAATTTTCAAGTCAAAAAATCATTATGTTGTCACAAGAAGTGTCATCTAAAACACTATAAGGGGTATTTCTAACTCTAAACAGATTGTATAAAATTAACACTGTAAGGGGTATTTCTAACTCTAAACAGATTGTATAAAATTATCCAATAGTTAGTATACAATTATATTAAAAATACTAAAATTTGTCCTTATCATCTAAAAATAAGCAAATCAATGTTGCTTTGTTGAATTTTCTCCACATATCAGCTTAGTAAATGCAACTAACAAATACTACTATGAAGATTGCAATATACAGAAACACCTGTGTGAGTTCAGTAATATTAATTTACTAATCATTACTTTCAACATTGTAACAGTTTTCCAATGAAAAAATTTAAAGGCTCTAGAGATGTCAATATATCCATTCAAAGACATTACAGTGTTATTTATTTTTAACAAAATTGTGAAGATTCTGAATAGAAAAATCCAGTTCTATGTGGCTTTAAAAAATTTATGATATTTATTCTATAAGTAAAACATCTTCAGCATGTATGCAATAAATTGAGCATAAGGTTCCCTCAAAGCATTTAAAAAAATACTATTAATGGTGTAATATCTGCATTAAATGACATCTTTCTCCTACCCAGAGGACAGTCTATGCAAAAGAGATACCATTTTAGCCATTTTCATGTTGTCAATCAAAACTTTAGTAATGTGTCTTCTGTCACACTAAATGTTGTGGGAGTTTCCAGATAACAATTTTAGACAGCAATGTCAGTGTACTTAAAAAACACAAATCTAAAATATTCTGCTTCATGCTGGGTGAACAAAATGAGGCGTCCTAATTTTTTCACATCAAAGGCATTTCCCTCTTTATCCATTTGCTTTAATGAGAATTGTTCAAAAAACAAGAGGGAACAAATGACCTGATTTTGAAGGCTATCGCCACCCTACATTTCCCTCATCAAAAGGTAGCAGGAAGCATCTCTCAGCAAAAATGCTGTAGCGTACTTCTGTTTCATATGAGCTAAGACAAGCATAAACATGATATCATGGAAATTCAAGTTCTATCTCTATCTCTAAACATAGATTCTGTGTTGTTGTTGTTTTTATCATTTTCTACTTCTCTTTTATCTTTGAGCATCTATAACCCCACAGTTATACCTGGAGTTAGCTGTTATTGAAATACCACTAACCTATAAATGGTATAAATTTTAAACTTATTGCTCAGAACGTAGTATGCATGCATACTAAGTCTGATGAAAAATAAACAACAAAAAATATTCCCTCTCCTTTCTGTTAAGATACTGGGTAACAACATGTGTTTAGAGAGCAAATTTTTTTTTAATCAACTCTTGATGATTTAAAAACAGTATTGGGCTATGATGTCTGTCGTTTCTTCTGCTGTTGAAATAGATTTTTAGGTAATACAGATTTCAACAAGTCACGAAATTAGGCCAAAAAAACTTCCACAATCACCTCTTCTAATACTTTCATTTTATCAATTATGATCCAATTGAATTTGATTTCTACATTATAATATAAGCCATTTAATGACTGAATGCTGAGAAAAGTGAATTGAATTTGAGTTATATAAGCTGGGCATCTATAAGCAGCATTTTATTCATAGTTTGATTCAATTATGTATATGGTTAAAAACTCAACTACCACAAGATTTAAGAACTACAATTTGGTGAAAAAGTATATATTATGTGGACAGATATAAAGATACCCAAAATATTATTTTTTTATTACTTGCAGGAATATTTAGGTATCCCAACCCTAATAGGAAGAGGCCAGGAGAAGGGAACTAAGGAGATATTCATTTGGTTTCACACATTACTTTCAACTACTTTCTGAACATTTAACAAAATAAACATGACTTTTCTAGTAAATTCTAGTATTTGCAAAGAAATTTTTTTTCCTTCATCTCTAGCATGGTCACTAGTGGTTGACACAGCCAAATACTAGTTGAATTTAAGTGGATTCTCATTTAAAATACTTTTCTTTTCATTTATTAAATACAGCCCTGGCCAGTTTGGCTCAGCTGTTAGAGCATCAGCTCACAAATAAGCCACATGTTTGGTTCCTGCTGCAGTGGTTCTCAACCTTCCTAATGCTGCAACCCTTTAATACAGTAACATTGTAACATAAAGTTCAACTATATAGAAACACAATCTAGCTTAATAATTCAATCCAGATATATATCCTAATTTTAAAAACCTTCAATATGTATGTCAGTCAATAACATGGTTATAATTTTTTTAAATGTTTTACTCATGTTAATTTCCTAAACTAGTCCAGACATTATCAGTGTAATTACTCAAGAGTTATGTCCAGCTTTTCCATAAAGTGATCAACCAAAATTCTACTCAACCAAAATGCTGTCAACATTCATATATAATCTAAAAACTAAAAAATATCATGGTAAAAAGTTACAGTATATGGAGTCCTTTATTTGCATTTTTATACCTAAGCTTTCCATCTCAGGATTAAGAAGATAAAACGTTCTAATATTTTTCATCTCTTGAATAAGAATCTGCACTGTACACCACTCTTCTACTTACTCGGAAATACCTTTCTAGGGCAGGGGCAAATAATCAATTGAACTCGTAGTTTTTTAATTTAGTTAGAGAAAATGTCAACCTTTCTTGGCCTTACCCAGATATCAGCCTTGGTGGTGATGGGTTTCCCTCCATAAAGGTTGATCATTTCAGGGGCTCTGTATGACAGAGTTGTATACCTGGCAGTAAATAAGTAAAATGGAGTGGAGATATATATATATAAATTTTTAAAAAGACAGATACTACATTGTTTCTACATAAAATACTGCAAAAAACTTTTTGGTTCAATAACATTAGATAAAAATAATACTATTTTTAAAAGACATTAGAAGTCCATCAAGGATTAAATAATACAAAGCATGTATACACATTTTTATTCAACAAGTGCAATAGTATCTCTATTGATAAAAAAAATTAATTCTCTTTAATATAAAAATTTTAAATAAAAACAATGTATTAGAAACATAGTTTTTGTTGAATTTTTTAAATAACTATTAAAATATCCTTATAAAAATACTTTAGTCAATTTAAAAGTAAAACTTCATTCTTTCAAAAAAGTCATTTATATGTTTATAAGATGTTTGTTTTTATGGACTTGCACATGGCAGTAAATCTCCTTTAGATTTGTTTTTATAATTGTTGTTTTAAAAATAATCTAGGTGCCATATTCTAATTACACTAATTAAATACAATTCTAATACTGCCATCATAATATACTTGGAATTATAAGACACTGAATATTTACCAATATAAAAACCCCAAATACATTATGAATAGAGTATTTTAATAAAGTAGTGCTCGATTTCATGGCAGAAATTACCAAAATATGGAAGAACTTCCCATATCATAGCATAATTTAAAATTCATTTTGAGTGACTATATGTTTTATTTTACATAAAGTCTCTTAAAGGTGAACATTTTAGCATCTTACTTTTTCCAATGACCCTGATTGGTGGGACATTCCGAATGATACCACTAACAAATAGCAACCTAACAAACCAGAATATGAACTGCATGCAGGCCAGACTTCTGTTCACTGCTATCCTAAAGCCCAAACAACAGTGTCCACTACACTGCAGGCCCTACATAAATACCTGTCAACTGAATAAATGGTTAGGCCATTAGCTCTTTAATTGAGCCACAAAGCACAAGAACACACTCATAGCTTACACACATTGCTAATGCAAAATTCTACTAATCCTTAACTATACTTCAGATCTCCGTAAGAAGTAAAACCCAGCAAGTTAGAGGTGCTTCAGCAGAATCCTATAGTTGCCATTATATATTACAATCCAATCATTTTTAAAAATTACATTCCCAAGAAGCCAATTCAATAATTTATTGTTGTTTAGTTCTTCAGGACATTTATATATTTACTATGGAGGGTTGTTTTTTTGTTTGTTTGTTTGTTTTTAAGGAATCTAATACAAGCATCATAAGCTAAGTTCCCTGAGTAGAAATACAGTCTAGAAATCCATAATGTTATACAACTGAGCCAGGGTAACATCAGCTCTACTTGAGCTATTTCAAAATATAAATTACAGTTCAAATTAATAGCCCCTAGACCGTTTTAAACAATGAAAATTTGTGAAGTAAAGACGGCAACTCAGAAAAGGCAACTACTTAGAAATTCCTATTCTGACAGATCTTTCTTCATTCTGTATCATTTTATTAAGGTAATCTAAGATTTACAAACAGTTTCATTTTCTGAAACTAGAAAACAGAAAAGTCTTAACAGGTAATCTAGCAACCATGGAAAGTATAAGAGTAAGAAAACATAAAGCAATTATGACTTATTTTTCTACCAGAGAGCTTTCCAGTACACTATTACAAAGTAACACATTTTCAGCCTAGTTTTCAACGTATACAGAAGCCGACTTCTTACTATTAAATATGAAATAAAAGCTTAAATGTTTGCAAATAATTTAATTTTTCCTAAGAAAAAACAAAGATGTTTAACTGAACTCAACAAAAACTCCCTTTAATGATTCCATTCATTACTATAGCTTATTTAACAACTTTCTTGATAAATGAGTTTATAATGTAGATGAATAAACTTGTATCCATGGTGCAATGTATTTCCTATTGAGTTAGAGCAGACATAAATTAATCAATGTCTATGGCATAAAATATTTTGAAGAAATCTATGAATGGAATATCTAAAATATGTATTAGCGGAGCTGATCACAGACCCAAGTTAACTAAAATTCCCTTAAGACAAATGCAATAAAGACAAACACTTACTTTTTAATTTCTTCTTCTACTACATTAACTCCATCTTTTTGAGGATTAAGAAATTTATTAGTGGCACTGCCAAAGTCACAAAGTACATAGTTTCCACCATCATTCAACAAAATATTTTCTACCTTAAAAAAAACACAAAAACAATAATTAGCACTATTTAAAAAATGAAACTTATTTTACAACTATGATCTTACACAATCAACATTGAAGGGTTTGTGATATATACACATACATATACACATATATACATATACATATTATATGTGTACTATATATATAATACCTCGAATTATGAGAAAAGACAAATGAATCAGACCAAATATATATGTCTACTGCTTCTCTTACTAAGAACAGAAAAATCATCTCAGGATGATTTTTGCAGGGGACAAGAAACCCCAAATCCTCTCTAAAAGTGCTTCAGTGAAAGAAAAGAACTTGTAGCAGGTCTATACTTATACCTCCATTTCTCTCCATTTCTGACTCATCACCTTATCTAGACAAGCAATAACAAAAACAATTAAAAGTCTACCTCTAACTCTTAATACCATTTTTATCTAAAATACTACATTGAAAAACAAGAACTGATTTTATGCCTTAACTTGGAGATTAGAGTTGTAGTATTACACACACAGTTTCAAGAACAAGAGAGTATGGATTCATAGTCCAACTTAGCTACTCACTAGCAATGCATACCCTTGGATAATTTGCTTAACCACTGTGTGCTTTAGTTTCCATATCTATAAAATAGGAAAGGTAGTATCTATTATTATAAAAAGTAAATTAATTAAAACATGTAGAGTGCTTAGAACAGTGGCTGGAATAAGGTATGCACTCAATAAATGATACTATGTTATTACATTTTTCCACAATATTTTTATTTTTATGACACAGTCTTGGAGAGTAATTCAATTTCTCATATTTCTATCAAAATACATTACTGTTTCTTTATAATTTTTCTTCTAGATTTCATTTTAGTTTACCATTTAAAAGCTTTACACACAATAAATATTTGTACAAGAAATCTACTTAAACATAAGTTTGCTTAAATTTACACATGTAAAAAAAAAGAATTAAGCATATGAAATATGGCCTATACAAAATTATGTAGTTCAATGTCTTTTCTGGTTTTAAATCATTAAGACTCAGCTGAAAATATCTACATAAAAACAACGAATAATTTTTAGTAATTTTAAATAATCTAAAAATTCACACCAAATTATTAGGGAAATATAAAAGTTGCATATTCAAAAGGACTGAAATAAACTAGACTGGTTATCCAAAAAATGACAGTCACGCATTTCAACCTTATCTTAACTTGTATCCTTTTATCATAGGGTTCCCTGGACGATGCTTTCATGGTTACGACCTATATTCTAAGTAACATCTTCTATTCTCTTGTATCTTAAAAGCACTTTATTATCACTTTTCATAAATTCTGTATAATCAGTCATAAATGAGATTCATTCACTCATTAAATATTAATTATTGAGAACACACTGTGTACCATGTACTGTTCTAAATGCTTAGATACATCAATAAAAAAGGAAAAATCCTTGTCCACATGGAGCTTACATTTTAGTGGAAGATGACAGAAAATAAATAATTGGCTTAATACATAAGTATGTATCATACAGTATCATATAGTATCTTAGAAGATGACAAGCCATAATAAACAGTAGAGCAGATGAGAAGCAGGACTGTTAGGTTACAATTATAACTAAGTCAGTACAATTAGAAATGTGAATCTGAGCAGACTTAAAGGAGGGGAAGGTTAGCGATGGGATATCTGCACATAAAGAATTTCAAGAAGAGGAATTTTTGTAATCTTAGTGTTTGTGAGTATCAAAGAGGACACCTTATAGTTTTACAAGATACGTGTACTGGTTATCTCCAGCAATATGATACCAGAAATGTTCAATCCCCTTTGGGGATTTTTTCCAATGTAACAAGTGGGTATTATATACAAGAGGTCTGAGCACACAAAAAGGTTAGATGACCTTAAAGATAATTACCACCAAATTCTACAGCCAGTATTTAGATGACCTCAGGAAATGCAGTGGGGGACAGAGACAAAGCTCAGTGCTAGTAATAAATATTGTTTTAGATGAAGATAGCCCAAGAACATTTTAATTTGAAAGTTTAAAATGCATTAATCCATTAGGAGTCGAAAATCAGTACCTTCAGATCACGGTGAATGATTGGAGTCTTACACTGATGCAACCTCGCAACAGCTTCACAGGTATCACAGAATATCTGTAACACTTCTGGTTCCGTAAAACCTGTCTGCAGCTTCTTGTTCATCTGATTCACTACCTGCCCAGCTGAGCAAAAAATTTTGAGAGGATATATTTTGAATACATGCAGTCTATCACAAAGAAATCAAGAAATGCATTTATGGTCTCAGGTACTAGGGAATTGGCTTTTTCATAATTCTCCTGTAAGGATGTTTATTATACTATTAAGTACTGATTCAATGAAATACATGTTTTTACATTTTATATCTCTAACATGAGACCATCTTAGATAGATAATGTCCAGCTAATGCTCCTGCCATGTTTTAATATGTTAACATCTCTGAAATCAGGGTGTACCCTTTAATTGACAACACCATAGATTTAAAAAAAAACAAAACTATTTATTCCAGCCTGGCTGGTGTGGTTCAGTGAAGTGAGTGTCATCCCATAGACTGAGAAGTCCTGGTTCAATTTCTAGTCAGGGCATATGCCCGGGTTGTAGGCTTAATCCCCAGTGTGGGGCATGCAGGAGGCAGCACAGATTGATGTTTCTCTCTCACATCAATGTGTCTCTCTCTCTAAAAAATCAATGTAAACATTTAAAAAAACACTTAATTCCATATTGTGCTAGTTATCGGGTAAACAATGGTAAACAAAAATAAAGTTTCTATTATCATGGAATTTATTGTCTAAAGGCAGAGATAAACATCAAGCAATCACACAAATAATCACATTATCAAAATTATGTACAATAAGTATAGTATGAGAGAAACCTATATTTAAATTGGTGGAGGATGGGGAGAGAGGGTATCAGATAAGGCCCATCACAGAAAGTGATATTTATGTTGAGAATGAAAGATAGGCAGGAATTAACCAGGAAGAGATATGGAACAAGTGCATGCCAGCAATAGCAAGTGGCAATTACAAAGGCTCCATTTTGGGAAAGAGCTTAATGACTCTGAGTAGTTTAAAGAAAGCCAATGTGGACATGGTCTAGGAAGCAGAGGAGAGAGTAAGGTGAGATGAGATTGACAAGGCAGACAGCAATCAGAAATACTTACTTTTTTATTTTTTGCTACGTGCCCCTAGCAGGAACTGAACCCGGGACTCTCTGGTCCGCAGGCCGACACTCCAACTGCTGAGCCAAACCCTCCAGGGCAGAAATACTTACATTTTAACTTAAGAGCCAAAGAAACTTCCTGATCTGACTTTTTAAAAGGTTTCCTTGATTGGGGGAATCATAAGAGAAGAAACCGATAGATGGCTTAAGAGGCTAATACTCTAAACTAAGTAAGGAATAATGTGGCAGAGTAACCAAAATCAAATAGCCACATATGAGCCCTGAGAGAATTATTATATACCACAATAACTGACAGTCTAATTATGGCAATTCTCATTATTAAGAAGTTAATTATCATTATATTTTAAGAACACAAGTAAATATGTGATTCATTCAGAAACCATTCTGATAAAAATCAAGTATGGAATTTAAAAAGGCAAACTTATGTTAACCTGAAACTTTCTTTTTTTTAATTCTCACCTGAGGACATTTTTCCATTTATCATGAGAAAGAGTGACAGGGACAGAGGGAGAGAAACATCAACGTGAGAGGGACATATCGACTGACTGCCTCCCGCAGGACCCTGACCAGGGCCGAGAAGGAATCACAACTGATCGGTGCCCTTGACTGGAATCAAACCCGAGACTCACTGGTCCGCAGGCCAAAGCTCTAAGGGCTGAGCCAAATCAGCCAGGTCAAAACTTTCTTTTAACAAGGTTGAATAAATGAATGTTTGCTACTTTGAAATCTGTAAGAAGGTGAATACACATCTGTTCCTTCTATTATTACCGTATCAACAGTATTCTCATGTATTTTCTGAGATGGGTTGTTTTTCCCTTAGAATTTTAAAGCAAAAAGAACCTTTAGCTATCAATCCCCCACTTTCAGGAAGCTCAAGTCTCTTTGGCTGTTGTTCAGGGCATCTCATAGGAGTGAGGCAACCAACCAGGCAGCAAGTTCCTCCACTCTCTTGTCGGTCACCCTGACTCATTTTGACCAAAAATTAAACATGATGAAAAATGTTTTGTTGGTATTCATTCACATTCTTGAAATATCATTTCACAGCTAAAGAAACAAAAACAGTAAACTCATTCCACCTCTTCCAAAGGTTCAATGTCGTAATACGTAGAATGAATTTTAAACAAATGTTAATCCTTTCTTACATTTAGAGATCTTTGAGCTGAAAACCTTGATTCACAAAATTCAGGACCCCACAAAAAGCTAAAAAGTAGTATTTGAGCTGCATTTCAAATACAGACACAAAAAATATTTTATTATTCAAAATCAAAATCTCCTGAAAATTATATTAAAGTAAGGTTACTCTAATGAAAAGTGAGACTTAAAAATATATACTCAAGGTTTTTAAAACAAGATGCATATAGCTCTTAAATCTTTCCTTATTTTTCAAATAGGTATCATCTCCTAAACGAAAGCTTTTATCCTCTGCCAATTTCATCACTAAAATAAAAAAGTCAACATTTTCCTAACCTCTTCAAGTAGTCGTCCAACCCTTCCTATCTGACCATACAACAGAGTGAGGCAGAAGTGGCAAGGTACCAGGCCCAAGCCTAGGCACTAAGAGCCCTCACATCCTCCACTTGCCCTCTTGTGTTTGTACCATCTCCATGGGAAAAATATCCCCAGGACAACTTGCTAGTGCCAGGAAGAAGATGAGAAATATGTAAAACAAGTCCCAGCAAACCCACTGGCATGTGAGCAAACCCAGCCAAAATGAGTAGTGCCAGCCCACCAAGCTCTGTCTAGAACAAGTGACCCATTGACACACAGGCAATAATAAATGTGGTTTTGTGCTACTGAATTTTGTAATGTTTTGTTATTAAATAAAAGCTAACAGATTATTATCCACAGGAATTTATGTAGAACATCTCCTAGAGATAAAAGCTCTGTTCATAAAAAAATAAAAATATACTCAAAATACCAACTCAGATTTCTGAAAGTTTGGTACCTAAAGCACATCATCTCTCTTTAACCTATACTTCAGAACATTAGCAAATTAGGCAGTGCCATACCACAAACCTCCAGAGATCTAACATTGGACAAAAATGATTCTAAACATTTCATACTTGAAACCATGGTGGGTTATATAAACTATTTAACACATTCTTCTACTTTCTATACAGTTTTATTATCTCTACATAATCAAAACCAATGTACCTGAACTATATATTTAACAATGATTCTGTCACTGAAGTACCTTTATTCTTCAACAATTTTATATGATTAGCTTTTATAGAGGAAGTAAGGGGAGAGCACTTAGTCATTCTCCACCCCTCCAACCCACTGGGAAATTACTGATTCATCTGACCAAGGAACAGAGCATGCTCTATTCAGATCCTCTGTATTCCTTATCTTAAGATATAAATGCCCATCAAGGGTGCATTCTCATCTGTAGTACTACATACAGTAAGCTTATCTGGTAAAACATTTGAAGAAAACTTATAACATAATGGAGAGGACATAATAAAAAACAGAAAAATTTTCAGAAAAAGAAAACAAAAATGCAAGGAACAGAAGCAAAATCTTTTTAAAAGCTGTAATTAATATTGGCAAAAAAAACACAAACAAACAAACAAAAAAAAACCACAATATATTTGCACCTAAAAAAAGAGCAAGGTAGCCCTGGCCGATTTGGCTTAGTGGTTAAAGTGTCGGCCCGCAGACCAATGAATCGTGGGTTCGATTCTGATCAAGGTCATGTACCTCAATTGCAGTTCGTCCTTGGCCCTGGTTGTGGTCGTGCGGGAGGAAGCTACTCTATGTGTCCCTTTCATGTCAATGTTTCTCTTCCCCTCTCTCTTCTCTCTCCTTCCCATTCTATCTAAACTAAAATAGAAAAATGTCCTTGGGTGAGGATTAAAAAAAGAGCAAGGTATATTTTAACAAAGAACAACAACACTGAGAGAACAAAAAAGAGTTCTTGGAAATTAAAAGTAACATGGCAAAAATACAAAATTCTATAGAGGAGATGAAAGATAAATTGAAGGAATGCTCCCAATACAAGCAGAATAAAAAGAAAGAGAAGAAAAATGTAAGAAAGAAAATCAGAGGATCAATCAATCTGCAGCAGGATGGTAAGAAGCTAGGAAAATTCCTGGGCAAGTGGAATGGGGAAACTGAGACAAGAAAATTCAACAAGGCCGAACAGTCTAGGCAGCTTGCAGCCAGCTTGTGAACCTCAAGACCTTATCTTCCCCAACCAAGGACACTGGAGAGCAAATGGTTTATACTCTCTTCCCTAACTAGAAAATACAGAGCTTAAATCACCCTGGCCTGGGAAAATAGAGAACAAAGACCCAATTAATGCCATTTGTGCCAGCTAAACCCAAGGGCAGATAAAGTCTGAGGGGGGAAAAAAAAACAAAATGTTTGGATGGTATCACTTGGGGGATGTTAGGCAGAAAAGATAGCTGCTAGGTAGGGCAGGGAGAGGACAAAGAGAAGAGAAAAAAGGGGAGTTTATCTCACCCAGTGAACAAAGAAGTCAGCAGTCTTGGGACTTGCCAAGATAAAATCACCAGATGGTCTCACAAATTCTGGGAAAGGTTGCAACAATGTAAAAGGGGGACTTTGAAATCTAGTCTATCCAGTCTACCGGCATACCACCCTGAACACCCCAATCTTGATCTCGTCTGAAATCTAGTCTATCCAGCAGGGGAACCTTGAAACATATAGGGGGTTAAAGCACAGAACCCATTCCCCACATGTGCTTTAGGCCAAGGTTGAGGGTTCAATCAGGACACACACGAGAATCAACCAATGAATGTATAAATAAGCAGATCGACATATCAATGTTTCTCTCTCTAAAATCAATTTTAAAAAATGTTTTCTTCCATAAATACATTATCAGAAAGCTACTAAAAAATGCATTCTCAAAAACAGTAATGAAAAGAAGTGGGAGGCATGAGAAGCAGAAAGTCTAAAATAGGAAGAAGGCAAAGGGAATTCCCAGAAGGACAGTTAAATGCTGATCAAAATGAAACAGAACTAAGGCTCCCAAAAGGATGTTTCTAAGGAAAGAAAGCATAAAACTGACACAATTATTAAAATGCTGAAATATACTGCATAAAGATTTACACTTTCATTGGAATGTGGGGCTAAAATACTAATATGTATTTAAAAAACCAAGCAAATGAAAAGTGACATAATTATGAACTCCAGGGGAAATTTTAAAAGTATAAGAAAGAAAATGCAGTTACAGACTATAACATGTCAGTTTAATGGCATACAAAAAAATTTAAACACCAATCATTAATTCAATCTAAAAACTGAGACTATACTACACTGACAGTAAAATCTTCATCTTTTCCTGGAGATACTATCTAAAATAGAAAATCAGCACTACCAAACTTGCAAGAGCCCAGAATCACATACTTCCCCTGATTTTCTAAGTTCCTTCTTCTCTTTCATACTCTAAAGATCTCACTAAAACTAAATTCTTTTCTATGTAATGCAGTACAGAAATTCAGAAGTAAACATCAAAAGAAACATCTCAAGGATTTTAAAGTGCATGTCTCTGAAGGAAGGGATGAGGCAGGAAGATACTGATTTAGCCATAGCTTAACAGATCAATTTGACTTTTTAAAATATATAGATGAATAACTATGATCAAAATAAAAATTTCACATAAAACAAAGCTTATTGATTAAAACCCGATTTTTAAATTGTTAATTTTTAAAAAGCAAGAGAATGCCTTCCTCAAAACAATTTGTCCCCTAAATACTGGCAGTCCATTTGGTTCTTCTTTTAAAATGTCTTTTGAATGACAATTAATTAAACTCACCCAGGATTATAATTATGCCCAATTCAATTTTCTTTAAAAAGTTAGGGCTACTAGTCAACTATAATTTAGCTAATAATTAGAAGCAAAAATGCTACAATTCAGGAAAGTGAGGTACAGAAAATCAGTATCTTCTCCTTAAAGAGATCACAATGCTTTACAGTAGACACTATGAAAGATGAATAAGGGAAAACATCTAACTTCTCATATTATATAGGGAAATAAGTTAAAATACATCACAATAGATATTATAATGTTAATTTACTTCATTTCCCTCTATCCTCCCTCCTTACAAGACTGAAGTAAATGAGATCATATTTTCTCCATCACCACTACCATCACCCTTCTCCTACAACCTTCAGGAAATGACAAGACTTTCTGGTATCATTATTAACAATCATAACTGTCTTAAGAGAATCTAAATATAAAGCAGGACTCCCTAGATCCCAAACTGCCAGATACAGTTTTACTTTTTTTTTTTTTAACTTTGCAGGAAATAGATTAATGGCCCCCTTTACACATTAAAGTAAAAAAAAAAAATCAGGGATTTTTTTAGGTTATTATTCTTCTTCTTAAAGCACACTATACAGCCCTGGCTGGTTTGGCTCAGCAGTTAGAGCGACGGCCCACAGACTAGAGAGTCCCAGGTTTGGTTCCCCACTAAGGGGACATACCTCAGATGCAGTTTGTCTCTGGCATCAGTTGGGGTTGTGTGGGTGGCAACCAGTCAATGTTATCTCTCTCTTCCTCCCTCTCTCTCTCCGGCTCTATCTGAAGAGAAAAAGGTCCTCAGGTGAGGATTAAAAAAAGTTAAAAAAATACATTAGGTCCAAATAAAATATGGTTTTCTACCTTCTGATATTTACAAAAGAACCCCAAAATACCAAATGATACAAGTTTATAAAAATTATAGATCAAAATATATCCTCTAAATTTATTACATTTAATGTGTTGAAAGATAACATAGTAGAGTGCTGGAAAAAAATCTTCTAACACTAATATTGACACATTGTGCTCTTCTTGGTTGGATTATAAAGAATGATATAGGAAGCATGAAGTGTAACTGCTCTTTATCTGCTTAGATTTCCTGGTTTAAACTCAACAGCATTTTCTTGTGCATTTACCTGTTCATATTATCACTGCAGCAACTATGACTTAGGTTTTAAGTATTTTTAACAGCATTCCTTAATTAGACAGATAATTAAATAGGACTGCAATAAGTGTCTAGAATAAGGTGACAGCTGTTCTGGGAGAAACCAAGACACCTAGTAACCCATTTTAGGGCCTTTTTTTTTTTTTTTTGAGTATAAAACAAATGCAGAAAAAACACTTACCTCGGCAATATTCCATTAAGATAAGCACTTCCCATACATTATCACTAATTGAATTAACAGCACTGTCCAAATAACCCACGATATTTTTGTGACCAGACAGCTCTTTCTGTAAAAAAGAAACAAAATTTTAAGAATAAAAAAATATACATGTTAAAGCTCTATCACTACCAGTGGTTTGAAGTCTAAATTATTGTATTTAGAAAATTTCAAAAAGTAAGACATTGGCATGAGTATGAAATGTGACATATTTCAAAAAGGGTTTTACCATTCTAGTAGAAAGTATTTACATGTGTCCGTCATTTTCTGACAGGCAAATATTCAGTGAATACTTATTTTTAAATTCAATCAAGAAAAAAGTTGGCTCACTCAAAAGTAGCAGTCTCCAAAAGCGAGTGTGCAAGATAATCCTTTAGGGACTCCTTTAGGAACTCAAGAATAAAATATCAGAATTTTTAGTTATATTTATTTTTATCTTAAAAAAATAAGCTGTAACATAGGGGTGGGCAAAGTAGGTTTACAGTTGTGAATACACAAAACAGGGAGTTTATTCTTATATTATTATTTATTACTGTATTTTCCATACAAATGTAAATCTACTTTTGCCCATCCATGTATTTATTAACTAATAATTATACTCTCATTGGCATATTTTGCATGCAACATATTGCAATTAGTGTGTACCTAGTTAAATGGATTTTTTAAATGTATGTACTATTAACTCAATAATGTAAAAAATAAACAAGTGGCCTAAAAAGGTTTCTGTAAAAAAATAATAATACAAGTACAAGAAAATAAGAAGAAAATGGCAAATCTGACACTTTGGCTATTAGTGTAACATAACCATCAGTATATACTGAGGTTGAAAATAATCATGATCGCCCTGGCCGGTTTGGCTCAGCAGTTGGAGCGTCCACCTGCGGTCCAGAGAGACCCGGGTTCGGTTCCCGCTAAGGGCATGTACCTCGGTTGCAGTTTGTCCCCGGCCCTGGTCGGTTGTGCGGGTGGCAGCCACTCGAAGTGTCCCTTCACATCGATGTTTCTCTCTCTCTCTCTGTTCCTCTCTCTCCCTCCCACTCTACCTGAACAAAAAATGGAAAAATGTCCTCGGGTGAGGATTAAAAGAAAGAAAATAATCATGATCTATTTAGGTCTGTCTGGAAATTAAAAAACAATGATAAAGAATATTATTTTAGCCCTGGCCAGTTTGGCTCAGTGGTTAGAGTGTCAGCCTACAGACCAAAGAATCCCGGGTTCGATTCCGGCCAAGGGCACATACCTTGGTTGCGTCTCATCCCCAGCCCCTGTTGGAGTCATGTGGGTGGTAACCAATCTATGTCTCTCTCTCACATCAATGTTTCTCTCTCTTGCTCTCTCTCTCCCTCCCACTCTTTCTGAAGATAAATGTAAAAATATCCTCGGGTGAGAATTAAAAAAAATACTATTTTAACTGAATTTACATCCACTACCATTGATAATAAACCTAGTTTTAACTTTGTAATGTAATTTGAGATATTAGCTAATGGCAGCTGAACATGTCACCAATTCATAAATAAATATACATAATAGGAGATGGGTCATCAAAAAAAGTTGGAAGACCACTGCTCTAAAGACCTAATCTCCCTAAAATATTTTGTTTAAAGCATAAAATTTGAATGTTGCTACTGCTGATGATGACTATATTTTTATGTCTTTAAATTATATATATTTGCCTGGCCAGTGTGGCTCATTGGATGAGCATCAACCCATGCACCAAGAGGTTGCTGGGTCCGAGTCCCAGTCAGGGCACATGCCCAGGTTGTGGGTCCAATCCCCAGGAGGGGCCATGCAGGTGGCGGCTAATCGATGTTCTTCTCATCGATGTTTCTCTCTCTCTCCCTCTCCCTTTATCTCTCTCTAAAACAAAATCAATAAAGAAAAGAAACAAAAAACTGTACACATTCTACCAAAAGGAAGAATTATGGCACAACAGTACCATACCTGGGCTCAAGGTTAGTTTGAGAACTTGATACAAAGTTCCCCCTTCATCTTGTAAATCTTTTTACTATCTTGGCTTATAGCCTTGCCTTTTGAAAAGAAACAAGTCTCAAAGCTAAGAAATAGGGACAACAAAAGCAGAATTCAGATAAGTTAGACTGTAAAATGTGCCAATCTTCAAACGAAAGGGATCAAAATAGGTGTGTTGATAAAGATGTTGATAAAAAATAAATCTCCCTCTTAGCAACTGGATAAGTAGGACTGACAATAGCAAGTGTTGAAGAACAAGAATGTGGAAAAACTGGAATATATATATATATATAAATGTCTAACCATTATGCTGTATACCTAGAACTAATATAATATAGAATGTCAACTATAATTGAAAAATTAAAAATTAAATTAAAAAAAAACTGGAACATTCATACAATGCTGGTATGAATATAATAAAATGGTTCGGCTACTGTGGAAAACAGTTTATGGTCCCTTAAAAAGTTAAACACATAATTACCATATGACTCAGCAATTCCATACCCCAATATATATCCAAAAGAACTGAAAACAGGTACTCAAACAAATACATATACACATATTCATAGCAGTATCAGTTACAATAGCCGAAAGGTAGAAACAGCCCAAATATTCATCAATGTTTTTTTAAAAAGTCCAACAGATAAACAAATTGTGATATACATATATATGTGATACACATACTGTCTATGAATACAAACACATACAGTGAATATACTGAACACCCATGTGAATGGTAAATACCAAGCTCAGGATAGCGGTTGCTTTCCAGATTAAGGACAGTACAGAGATATGCTTGGGGTGGAATACACAGAAGGCTTCAACTGTATCTGGAAGGTTTTAATTCTTAACCTCAGTAGTGAGTAAACTGGTGTTATGTAATTCTCTAAATTTTTCTATCCTCAAAATTATCCATAATTAAAATGTATTTTAAAAAAGAAAGAGGAGTAGCATGCCCACTAAATGACAGTAGGGAAGAAAAGAAAAAGAGCAGGAAGGAGCTGGCTGTATTTAGCCCTAATTATGGCTATAAGGAATATACTACAAATTCCCAATAATTTTCCAAGTGAATTTAATGATGTTTGAAGATTTTCTAGATGTGCATAAACCTATAAGCAGTTTGCATAAAAGCTGGTTAATGTTATAGTACAAAAAGTAAAAGAAAATACATCAATTTTTAATGGAATTAGTCTTTTACTTACCATAATTTTAATTTCCCTTTTACAAATGTTGAGGTCTGGCGAGTTATTGACATACATTCGCTTCAATGCATGGCGGATTCCACCATGAGTCCGCACCAGGAAAACTGTGGAGAATCCACCTATAAGAACAAGAACCAATTAATTAAAAAGAATCAGAAACTATTGCCAAAATCATGTGATATCACTGAGGAGCCTAATCTCAAAGGGAAATAAACTGACTGTACCCAAGACAAAAGAAAGAACAGTAAGCAACTAATAAATTAGATTGAAACCCATGACTCTGGCTTCCTGTGCCAATCATGAAGTAGCACTTAAAGGACAGCATGCTTGTGTTTTAAAGGTCAAAATACCAAAATTTCATTTTGCATGTGAATACTTTTTTATGCAGTATGTGGAAATTATCACATATAAATTATTATAGTCTGGCATATACTAGTGCCTCTGCCTCTTCTGTGATGACAAAACACTTATTTAAGATGAGACATCAATGGGATCAAGTGGGTGGTTCCCTCCTCCACTTTCAGGGAATGAACCAATATTGTTCTAAGGTGATAATGGGAATAGCATTTCCACTTGTCAGTAACTGACTCAGGATTGGGTATTGAAGCCGTTTTTTTTAATGGGACATAAGGGAAAGTCTGCTGAGGATTGCAGGGAAAGATTTTCTACCCAGAAAAAAAGAGAGACTTGTGGAGAAGGTCCTGCTCTTCCTTCTGGCTTTTGGATTTTGTTGTATGAGAAGATGAAGTTAAGACCTACTGCAGCCATCTGTGGCCATGACATGAGAAAAAAGGGTCAGAGAGAAAATGATCTGGAACACTGTCATAATGAGAAGACTGAATTAGACAGCTCTGGAAACACCTCCATCCAGAACTCTTATGTGAGGTGACAAATACCCTCATTAGTATTTATGCCACAGTTATTTGGACAATCTGTTAACTGCACCTAAGTATCGTATCTGAAATACATAGCAAGGTATTCTAGAGAACAATTACTTCTGATACATTTAAACAAAGAACCCCACCTGAAGTTTTAAAAATGCATTTTGGCACAGAATATCTGTAGCTTAATTATAATTTAAAACAAAAAGTAGTGCATCACTTTTATCAATTTGATAGCTCTTAAAAAGTAACACCCTGAGCAATGCTAAGTCAAAGCAGTCAAAGAAAAAGTTAACTACTGGGCATAAACAATAAGGAAAAAGAACTCCTAGTAGACTTCTAGTAGACTCCTAAATCAGTATAGATTCATTCCAGATACACCAAATCCTCCAACTGAAGTTATAAAAAACTGCACAACTACCACCTTTTAGATTTGGATTTTCATGATAATGTAAGAGAAATCAATACTTTAAGTAAGAGCTCTAACAAGGCAGGTCATTTCTCTAAGACTTCACTTAATATTCATTTCATATGCAAACATTAACAAATTAGTAGAATAAAGTGTTAAATTACACGGATTTTACTTGATTAAAAAGTTTTTTAAATGCTGAAAGTTAGAATAAATCTAGATACGGAGGTGGTATAAATATAGGTCAAAATAAGTCATTTAAACAGCATTTGTTCTGAAACATTTACCTAGCGATTCCCCTAGAACGATGCTTCCCAAACACAACTATGCATCCAAATTGTCTGATGAGCTGGTGTATGTGTGAAAATGTATCTTAAACAGTTTCTAGGTTCTGACTCCAAGTGTGAATCGGAAGGTCTCAGAGAAATTCTAGTCTATATACATAATGCTAAATTCCCCCTACTCATTGTATTATTCTACTTTTGTATATGTTCTTATTAATATATAATCATGTACGTTCTTTATTAAGTGGGGGGTGAGGAGGGTACCTAAGATAGTTTTGATGCACAATCAAGACATGTAGCCACTGAATCAGAGTAAAAGCTCCTGGAGAAACCATGGATACTATATATCCATTCTTAATCAACCACAGAACAAAGTCATTTTATCCCTGTGAATAATAAAAATTAGGGGGATATATTAACTAAGTCCTCCTTATAAAACCCATTTCTAAAAGTTAAAGTTTTCCAATTCCACTAATCCTAAATTAGACATAGATCTGGTGCAATGTTAAGTATTGTACACAGAGATACTACGATTTATACCTAAATAACGTAAATAATGTTCATTAATAGTGACTGCTTTGGGAATGAAAGAGAATCATTTGTTTATATTTCTCCCAATACTATACTTTCCAGAATTTTCTGATTAAGTATTAGTTAGCTAATATTATTTCTATCTGAAGAATGCATTTAGTGGGGAGGTAAAAAATTAAGATATTCTTGTAATTCAAACGAGGAATATCATCTCCTTGCCACTAATCCAGATCTACCAAATTTTTCATCACATATTTTTCCTCATAGAAGTCTTTCATGAGCAACCCAATTCATGCCCATCACTTCCTCAGGCACCTATATCTAGAGTTTTGACTATATTATCATGTACTTCAATTCTCAATTCATTTTTTACATAAATCAAAAGATTTGTGGCAGAAACCACAAATTCCACCTATTATATATTTCTATGTCCAATTCAAGGCACCGTTTTCCAATTAATGCATAATTTAAAATTCCAATTATGACACTATAAAAGTATTATAAAGCATTCCAAATATTCTCAAAATCCCAAGAAAATAAAAGAATTAATGACAGATACTGGTTTGACAGAATAAAAGGGAAAATAAATGTATATTTATAAACGTGAATGAGAAAAAAAATAATTGGTATTTTTTGTAATCTGCACACCATAAATGACAGGCATCTGTGTGTATATATTCTGAAGAGTAATGACTCTCAGCCTCCCCTGGGTTTTTCCAAAGTAGAACTTAAGGCATGCAGGTGAAATGATCCCTGCATAACAAATCTCACCTCTCCTCACACATACAAAAAGGATTCAGATTAAAATGGAGTGGCTTTAAGCTGACCTAAATTTGCTCCAATTAGTAGTATTAAAATAATGACAGTGTAGCTTTCTTTCACCTGACTGAATACCACCTTGGAAAGCACTGCTCTAGAGATGCCATGTTCCCCTTAGTAACCATTTATGGATGTAAAACATGTATTTCTACAAACTAATTTTTCTTCCTGGTAAACCATTATTTATTCCTCCTATTAAGCTATTATTTTTTCATGCTTTAATTTGTCTTATTTTTAATTTATTGATGATATACATTTTTGTAACTCCCCTCAAATTTATTAAGGTAACATTAAATAATAAAAAAGTGATTTCATTAATGGTAGCTATTATAATTACTACTACAATTACTATTATGCTGCTGTAATTAACACTATTTTATGAAGGTTAGACCACACATTTTAAAGAATACAAAAATGAAACACAGGGTTTGATAAACAAGCTAATATTAGCACAATAATAGTCAGAGTTTATATTTACCTGCTTAAACATGCCCCAAATCATTTGTAAATACACATATAAGTTAAATGTCATATATAATTAAAGCCTAAAATCAGTTTTATAAAATAATTCTTATTATTTTTTTCAATGTTTTCACTGATTTTTAAAGAGACAGCTAGAAACATCGATGTGAGAGAGAAACATCAATCGGCTCCCCCCTCTTATGCCCCCTCCTGGAAATCCAGCCTGAAACCTGGGCATGTGCCCTGACCAGGAATCAAACCAGGACCTCTCAGTCCATGGGAAGATGCTCAACCTACTGAACCAAACCAGTGAGGCAATAATTCTTCATTTTAAAGACATGGAAATGTGGGCAGTAATTCTTCATTTTAAAGACATGGAAATGTGGGCAATAATTCTTCATTTTAAAGATTTGGAAATGTGCCTGGCTGGTGTGGCTCAGTGGATTAAGTGTCGTCCCATGGATTGAGAGGTCCCAGTCTGATTCCAGGTCAGGGCACATGCCCGGGTTTCGGGCTTGATCCCCAGTAGGGAGCAGGCAGGAGGCAGCCAATCAATGTTTCTCACATCGATGTTTCTATCCCTCTCCCTTCCTCTCTCTCTAAAAAATCAATAAAAATGTATTTAAAAAGTAAAAAAAAAAGACTTGGAAATGTGAGGAGTTAAATAAAAGCTAAAATAATCTTTTTTTACCACTATAAGCTCCCCCTCTATATTTTGGTTTCTTGAAATCTGTATCTAATGGAAAGCAATCCACCAGAGCCATTCAAATTGATGCCTAAATGAATCCTCTCCCATGCACTTTAGGTAGAAATGTCTTGCAAGTTGACTGTGTTTACTGAAAACATTACTCTAACTCTACAACCACAATACAAGAAAAAATAAATGCCTGGTAGAACAGAACTTCAAAAACCCTTGGAATTTCCAGACACAAGTATGTTTTTGTTATGCTAATGAGATGATGGGGGGTGGGGGGTGTCCTAGAGGCTGTCAGGATAAATGCTGGTCCCAGAAAAACCAACTGAATACATAATTACTGGGGCTGAAACATTTCAGCCTCAGGCGCCCTTTCCCATCCCACCTTTTGACCTTTGGGGAGAAAAAGGAGGGTTAAAGATTGAGTTCAATCATGTGGCCAGCAATTTAATCAATCATGTCTATGTAAAGCAATCTCAACATAAACTCTGAATAACAAAATCCTGAGAGCTTCCTGGTTGGTGAACCTACTGATATACTGGTATAATGAATAACTGATATATTGGGAGACTTGATGCCCCTGCCCGAAAGACCTTTCTGGACCTTGTCCTATGTACCTGTTCATTTGAGTTTTTCTTTTGTATCCTTTATAATAAAATGGTAATCATAAGCATAGTACTTGCTGAGTTTTGTGAGTCATTCTACCAAATGATCCAATCTAAAGAGGGATGATGAAAACTTCCAAATATGTAGTCAAGCCAGTCCATCAGAAGTGTAGATGGACCTGGGGGCCACCTGAAGTGGGGGTAATCTTGTGAAACTGAGCCCTTTAATTTATGGCTCTGAACTTATTCTGGGTGGTGTCAGAACTGAACTGACAACCCAGGTCATATAGAAGAACTGTTGTTGAAATGCAACCACTTATCCAGAAGTAATAGTTACAGATTTATTGTGTCTTCTGCTTAGGAAAAGGAGAATACGTCCAACCAACAATTTAAAAAACTTTAAACCTAACCATAATTCAGAATGCAATGATCAA